TGTGGGGGTTTTCGGTTCCTTCCCACCAGCAGACTGCTGAAGCTTATAGAGAATCCAGATGTTTGGATTGTTGGGTGTTTCTGTCTCTGCCTTTGTGAAGCGCTATGAGATGACTGTTGTTGTAAATATGCGCTATACAAATAAAATTGAATTGAATTGAGTTGAACAACAAGAGACATTCAAGCAAACATAAAAAAACACACAACAGAAACAACAAACAATGAAAACAGACACGAAAACACTTGCAGTGTGTTTCTTGGCAGCTACATCCAAACATTCCTCAGAAACGGCTAACTGCACCTCCAAGGAAATGTGTTATGCTAATCATGGTCCTCACAAGTATTGGAGTACAAATGTTTGTGTGTGTGTGTGTGTGTGTGGGGGGTTACCGTGGACGCCAACATGGAACCTCCAAACCAGACGGCGTAACGCTGCATGTGATGCGTGACGACCTGCACCTCCATCGGCTTCGGCTGCAAAACAAACAGAAACAAGTCATCTGCAAACATGTTGTCTCTGTTAGCATGTCTCTGTTAGCATGATTCTGTTGGCATATGTCTGTTAGCATGACTCTGTTGGCATGTCTGTTAGCATGTCTCTGTTAGCATGTCTCAGCGTTTTTTTTGTCAGCTGGTTTGTAAGCAGTTTGTTCATTGTTGTTTTGTGTTTTTGTCCACTTGGTGGCAGCAGAACATCCTGACGTATTAACAGCCTGACAGTGCAAACAGACGTATTTGGTCAGACAGAGCAACAACTAGCATTCAGTCTGTGGTCAGTTTGGTCCAAATGTTCATTAATGAGGACAGAAGGCTGCTGACCTTTATCCGTCCTCCGCTCAGCTCTTCGCTCAGCCTCAGCCGGGCGTCCACCACCCTCTTCAGGTCCCTCTGCAGCCGCCGCCCAAAGTCTCTGAACATGGTGGACCCTCCAGACAGCACGATGTTCTGACACACACAAAACAAACACGGATAAACTCACCTCGAATCCCTACTCACACCAGTCCTCACAAAGGTAGACGCACGAGTCCACAAGGACAGAGCAGAGTGAGACATCTCCACAAGACAACATATCTGTGTGGCGCTGATGACGCACCTTGTAGAGCGGTCGCCTCACGTCGATTGGACAGCTCTGAATGACCTCATCAACGACGTCAGAGATGGGCTGCATGAAGTCTGGGTTCGCAAACTGTAAAACACACTTTGATTTTATTTACGGTCATTTTATTTGCAGCTAACATTTCACATTCACTACAAAAAGTGAGGTTTTAGCTCATTATCTTAGTTTAATCCTCTGAATCCAAAAGCCGGCGGCAGGTCTGAAAAGCAATCTCTAGCGTGGCACCACTGACCAACTCGACAGCAACAGGATCCTTAGCTTTCTGGCTGCTGCTGAAAACGTGGTGTGTGATGTACGGAGCTGTCACTGCAAACAACCTGAAGTCAGCTCAAAGCTCTGATACGTCCTTAAACCTCTTTATTCTACGTGGCTCATTCAAAAATACACTAAAAGACGTGTTTGAAGCAGATTCTGTAAAAATCACAAAAATAGACAAAACTGTCCCAAGAGACAAGAAACAAGACAAAACGATACACAAACCGACCAAAAGACACCCAAAAACCAGAGAAATGAGACCAAACAGGAGACAGAACGAGACACAACGACCAGAACCAGACAGCAGTCACAAAGACACAGGAGACAACATGAAGAGGCAGTCTCTGTCACATCGCATCCCACAAGGAACAAGATGTGACATCAAAGACAAAACGGCCCCAAGGACAGAACACTACAGAGACAAGACACAGAATTAGCACAGAGACCGAACTGAGACACGAGCTGGTTGAGAAAACGTAAAACAACAAAAACACAAGACGAAATAAAAACTTCAGCAACATGAAACCACAGAAGAGACCAAAGTGTCTGTGAACGTCTGTCCACAGCTCAACATGTCCCAGAGTGTAACATCTGAGGGAACGTGTTGGCTCCAGGTCTTCACATTTTACTAAAATGATCAGACAAATGTTCTGTCTCTCTGGTGTCCATCCTTCATGTTCTGGTTCCTCAGAGCTGCTAGAACTTGATGTTACATAGAAACATGAACCAGTGACGTCTGTCTCAGAGTGATGCTGAGAAACCAGTCCATCATTTAGAACTTCTAGACTGGACTATTGTAGTTCTTTATTATCAGGATGTCCCAGTAACTCTCTCAGAACCCTCCA